CCAATACAACTATGTACTGGTCTAAATCCAATTCTATTAGGATATGTACTGGCCTAAATCCAACTCTATTGGGATATATACTGGCCTAAATCCAACTCTATTAGGATATGTACTGGCCTAAATCCAACTCTATTAGGATGTGTCCTGTCTTTAACGCAACGAGTCCATTCAGCAGAAAAGATGCAAACGAGAAACATTCCAGAAACATCTAGCCAACTGATTCCTCGATAGTTGTCCCAGATAGTTATTTATTAGGAATTAGGAAGCGAATTGCCAGAACTGCTCCAGCCATATTCCATTAGAAAATAGGTAATAGATATCTCATGCATCGTTGGCAATTATAAATGTTCTCCAGCAATTTTCGTAATGGCTTATCGTAGTTAAGTTTAAATCTTAAACTGGATAAGACAATCTTTGATGACAATCTTGACGAGGTCTCCACTCTTGGATCTCGGATCACTTCACTAACCATTTCTCAAAATGCGCATAATTTAATACGCGCACTGTGGCGGCCTAATCGGACAATTGAGTCGTTGATCTAGCTTGCCTTCTTTCGAGTCGAGCATTCTATGGCAGATAAATGAATTCTATTAGCAGAACTTAAATTAGGACCGGCATTTCTCGATAGTTCCAGAGATATAGAGAAGTCCTCTAGGTGTTTCAGTGTGTCAGCTTAAAATATGCACGATTTCTTAATCTCTTTTAACTTGAGATAATCGAGAGATTCTGGAGGATATTATATCATTTGAATGTTGTCTCTATCCATAACATGGTCTGACCCATAGAATTTTTCTGCTGGCAGCCTAGAATTCTTCTATTGATGATTGACCAAAATATACAAAATCTGATTTTAGCATTAATTATCTGGCGAGTTCCACATAATTAGATGCCGCCTACAATGCCCAATGTTTATTGATTTGATGGTAAGAAGACTGTATATTAGAAAAAATTAAGAAAAAAAATTGTTTAGAAAAAGATAATTTTTTTCCAAATATTTCCTAGGAAGTTCCGGCTAAATTATAAAATTTTTTATAAATTTTAGTTAACATTTATTTTGTTATTAAAAAATAAAGCAACAAATCTTTCTCGACTTTTTCCCCCCTCTCCCCCCCCCTCCCCCAACCCCCTTAATTGTATGTATATATGTATTCTTCTTTTTTTTCCTGATCAATTTAAGCTTTTTGAGCCTGTTCGTCAATGCTTATCGGAGATAATCATTTGAATTATTGATTATTGAAACGAATGTTTGTTTACAGTAACTATAATTCGAATCAAACATGATTTTTTATTTTTGAATATTTATTTCTTTGTTTTTACTGTTTGAAGCTCAGTGGAACTGGGAGGGAAGCGGAGCTTGAAGGCAACTCAAAACAACTCACACAAGTGAGTGTCAATACGACATATATGAACATCACCCCTACTGCATAGGTCTCCCCTCTTTGAACTCCCTCAGCCAGATAAGTACAAGGAGTGGATATTGGCGAATAGTTCAAAAGTGGAACTATCACTAGCCATCTTCTTTGTATGAATGGCATCAAAGTTATTTGGACAAAATGTTGACTCGCTCGTCCATCTAATTCGGATCTCCAGCGAGGACATTAGGATTTCATTCGGATTGGAGATAGTAGTAAAGAGAGGAAAAGCAGTAAGGACTAACGTGGTGGATTTGCCCAATTATCAATTCGCATATAAAATAAGAACTCAGAATAGAAAGCAATAACAATTTTCGCTAACTGGTCTTGGATTATGAAAGAGCGCTCTTCTAATAAGGCTTTCCTATTCATATTTAAAGATGAAATAAACAATTTAATAAATAATTATATAAAATTATATAAATTATATAAAATATAAAAATAAACAATTTAAAGATGAAATAAAGAGGAAATTGCGAAATAATATAATGGTACTATTTGTTATTTTAACTGTTGTTATTAATACAAGCACATGGCGTTTGCTCTCTGCTTGACTGGTTTTCAATAAATAAATAAATAAAATAATATTAAATATTTTATTTCACTAATTGCTACTTATGTATTTTAAAATTTAGGGAGAGGGGGAGGGAAGACGATAGTCACATAGCAATCACTATAAGGAGATAAGAACAATAAGAATCTGAACATCACCAAAGAATAAAATGGGAAAATAAAGTCCACACCCCGCCAGTCATCAGGTGTGCAGCTGGCATAAAGTAGATATGAAAAGAAGATATGGAGGTCGATGTGAAAATCTGAAGCACTCGAAAAAAAGAACCCAAAAAGACAATGGAATTATCCATCCCAGAATGGCACCAACGAATCACCTGCTGGCAGACATTAGAAAATGAGCAAGGTCAAGATGCGTGGGCTGTGCCATCTACAAAAACAGTTAAGGTAGTTGAGAAATCCTACTAGTGGTGGGAAAAACTAGGACAAAAGGCAACTGAGGCATTGATCATAGGAGTATGGCAAAAAGATCTATCACACTAGGTAAGATTCCAGATATATATTGTGCAAAAACAGTCCAACACAGGATGAAAAATGCAAGCAGAAGCAATCGAACACTGGAAGTCACATTCAAATAGCTGGGATCATAGAAACTCTACTCTATATGGCTTAGTTCCTCCCAAGATTAAGTGGGAGTTGTCTCAAAAAATCATCGAGAATAATAAGGCGAAGATCCTTTGGGACTTCTCCATTGACAAATAGGTATTGGCCTACCAACCAAGTCGTGATAGTAGACAAGAATCAGAAATCAGCACTGGTGATAGATATGGCAATACCAAGTGATAACAACTTTAAGAAGAAGGAATATGAGAATTTAGAGAAGTACCAGGGTTTTGAAGGCGAAACTAGAGATGACGGAAGTGAAGGTCAAAGTAGTTCAAGTGATAACTGGAGTACTGGGAGCTGTGACTCCTAAACTAGAAAAGTGTCTTCAATCGATTTAGGGATAACATCAGAGATTTCTGTCCACAAGAGCAGAATGCTAAGAACATATAAGATGTTGTATAAAATCCCCAATTTTCCACGACCTGGTAGAAGTTCCAAGGTTGTGGATCACACCTACCGCTCATAAGGGATGAAATTATGGATTTTTTTAAATATAAATATTATCAGATATTATTATTTATTATTATTATTATTATTATTTGCCATATTATTTTATTTTTTCACTTCTAATTTTTTATTTATTTATTTAATTTTTTTTATAGTTTTTATTTTTTATATTTTTTGTATTTTTATTTTATAGGTTTTTTATATTTCTATTTTCGCATTATATTTTTAATATTTTCACAGCTCTTTTATAAATAAAAATATTTCAATCGCAATGAAAGAAGCATGTTTGCGGCTTTTCTTTCCTTTTTAAATAACATCTGAAATAAGGCTGCAAGATAGAAAGAAATTTCGCGGCTTATCTCGCTATCGACATCATTCACTGATAAAAAAAAAGCATGTATCAGAGATGTGGTATCATTGATCGGTGGTCTAGTTCCAGGCTGCGTCGACTAAGATGAGGCATAAGGGGCTCGATTCGTCTTCCTTTGTAAAAGTAAACCTCCCACTAAGGATGGAATTTGAGCAGTGGTTGGCACCTCGCTCCATTTCTATTTTCAAAGGAATCGTTGTTGATAAAATTTCACTTTATTTTTTTTTCTTCTTTTTTGTAGTTTTCTCGTCCTAAGTAAATGATGGAGTCAACCATATTAGAAGTGATAAGTGTTATCAAAAGAAGAAGCAAAATAATTGCCACCGAGATTCGAAGCTTGGGTTCGAATCTACCGACGCAGCATCACCGTTTTTCTCTGAGTAGCACGGTCGACTAACGGAGAAAAGCAAAAGGAGTGTAGAATGCCTGAATGGGTTGTTGTGCATCAATATTGAGATTCTAGATTCTAGTACAGGAAAAACCTGTTGAAGAGGACGGGTTATACTGGCGATTCACTTGTACTTCTATCGCCAAGGGATTCCCTGCATATTTGTCTAGTTGCAGCTAAGCCAGCGAAGCGAATCTGACCAGTAATAGTGAATGCTCTTAAAAAAAAAAAGTGAAGCGAAGATTTCTTGCCTAGATTTCGGATTAAATTGTATGCTATACTATATTATATATTATATTTATATTATATTTTATTATATTATATTATATATTATATTTATTTTCCAAGATTGTGGAGCACTGGGTCGTTAAGATGGTCTCTACAGATCCCCTGGAGTCTCTGATGACTGTGATTCTCTGGGAGCTCGCGGAAATCTAATTCGAGTTTATCTTTAAATGGTAAAAAATCATTTTTATTGATTATTTTACATTGATTATTATATTCGTTCAAAATTCATTGATAAAAAAGATGAATATATTGCACTATATTGCACTAGATGTCTATGAATTCTTATGGTACCGTCTAGGGGGTCTGCGGGGAGAAAAAGATGACGATCATTTTTTTTTTGGAACGCTAATAACAAATGTAGACTTAGACGATGAAAAAAGGCATGGCTTCTATTACTACTAGCGATGGCGTCGAACCGAGCAGCTTGGAGATGTCTTACCCTTGTAGCCAGCGGAGCCAGTCTAAGCAGTAATGGTGAGAGCTGTTAGAAGAAGAAGAATAGATATAGACCGATTACAATGATAGTAGCCATTTTTTTTTTTGCAGCGGCAGTTAATAATTTTTAGAATTTTTGCAAATTCATAAGGATGCTTAATTTTATTTATTTATTCAGATATTTTTTTGGAGTGATTATCATCCTCAATATTTCGTTTCTTTTGAAGCGAGGAAAGCATTTTGCAATTATGTCAGAAAAAAAGACGATTGCGAAAAAGATAGGTAATAATTTCAACTTTTTAATTTTGAAAAATAAACAAGAAAAACTGAAGAACTTTTTTTTTTTATTATAAAAATCGAATGCTTGATTTATTAAAAATTGCTAAAAAAAAAAAATTTTCCCTAATAGATTTAGAAATTTGTGGAGAAAACCTAATTTTTCTTTTTTTTCTCTGTTGTCTTTTTAAAAAGTGATTTTTTAAATTTGAATTTAGATCGAGAATTGAAAAATCTCGAATTCGTAAGTCCCGGAGGATCACTAGCATTACCATCTGATTCAGCGCTCTCGATTTGCGAAGGCAAACGTAGATCGGTTCGCAATAGGAAAAGTAAAATTTCCTTTTATTTTTTTTTCCGCAAAATAATCTAGAAATTATTTAATTTCTTTTCGTTTTTTAGCTATTATACCATCAGCAGAAATTAATTTATTGTATCATGATGAAGACGGTAATCTTGTATTGCAAGATGGTACTTTGATTAAGTTATGTGATTGCTTACAAAAAGAATGTTCGGGTTATTCATTTATTTTTTTTTTTGTTTGTAAATTTTTTGTTGAAACTTTTTATATGATTGACTAGAATATTGACCTTGGATAATGGATCGTAAAAATATTTTAATATTTATATAGTTCTCATTCAAAATCCAACTTTTTGGCGAGGGTTCATTTGCATTCCCATCCTCAAAAATAATCTCATAATCTGATCATAGTAATAAGTCAGGAACAAAACAGAAATTATATGTGCGTTTCTTCTAATAACACCTCTCACTTATTCTCGAAAACTACAGGTTAGGCTGACTTCGATGGTTATAAGTGTAAAGCGTTTCGAAGCTATTCGGTCTGACGTAATCGTGGACAGTAACCAGAAATCATTCCTTTTTTCATCTTCTAAGTCCATATAATCGCTGGTGCAGCTATACTTTTAAAATCTTTTTTTTCTCTTTTAGTCCAGGTCTTGATCGCACCACTTCGCTTTTGACGCCATCTCACAAGATTTAACAAATAACTTCTCATTCTCATGGTATACGCCGAAGAATTTGCCCCTAACCAACGCCCCTAACCAAGTTGTAAGATTTTATCTGCTAGGCGAAGCCAAAAAATGCATCGTAAATGTACTTGAGTGGTCAGAGAAAGATAACTTTTTAATATTTTCCACTGTGACCAGCCATATCCTACAGCCATATAATAAAATTAACAAACTGCAGCTATTTGGATAGACTTACGCTTTTTTATAGTGATTTCGCAACTTTATGAAGGTTTCGTCGACCTTTAAAAAAAAAACGCATTTCTAACTGCCACTATTCGGGTTGTAATTTTGTCTCGCTTAGCCATTTGAGATTAGAGGGGATCTGAGATATTTAAAGCCTGGCAGCCTGACATTTCCTCAACTGGCGATGAATTGGTAAAAAAAATAGGTATATGCAATTAAGAAAAAGAAAAATATTGTAAAACATCCATAATTGTTCAGTGATTAATAAACTATAAATAAACTACGAATAAATAGGAATTTTCAAAAAAAATCTTTTAAACAAATTCATTTAACAGTAGACCATTTATTATGAGGTTTATCGGCTTTTTAAAAGCAAATTCTAATCATTGGTTTTTTTCTACTTATATATTTCTAGAATATTTATGTTACTAATTTAAAAAATATGTAATACTTTTTATCTTTTCGTTTCTTTTCATTCATGTTTCTTGAATAATTTGAAAATTTTCTATTTCAGGATGCCATTTTCCTTGCAGAAATTGTGGCTCGCAAATGTGCGGTCCCGAATGTCAGAAAGGACGTCATTTTGTCATTGAATCTATTGAATTACATCAGTCACCGTTGCAGATCAGAAAGCATCCGTACGGTGAAACTGCCAAACGAAATATTTAACTTCTCTGTCTATTTATTTTCTTCGATATAACTTTCAAATTTTTTATGAAATGATTTTTCGTATTCTCAGTGATAAAAATTTATTATGTTCAATTTCAAATAACTTAGCTAAAATTAATTTTATTTTTATTCTTAGTTTAATGATTTGCTATTCGCTTTATGTATTTTTATAATGGTCCAGAGGGACAAAGTACTTGTGATTTTTTTCCTCTTTATTTATATAACTTTTCTTATTGCTTTTGCATTTTCCCGAATTTAATTGCAATGTTTATATCTTCTACGAAATTATAGTTTATTGCAAATCCTCTTTTTCCTAGCTGCATTTAACATCATTTCGGATTTTGGATTAGATTAATTAATTAATTGTAGATGTGTCTATAGAACCCACGGGGATTTCTCTTAATTTCAAGTCTATCCATGTTAAGGTACCGAATCCATACCTACTTGTGGAATCAATTGCTTGAAACTGGCTGAACTATTTGTGAGGTTATTTTATTAATTGAAAGGTTAACATTCCAATTTTATTTTTATCATTAAAATAAAAAGTGAAATAAATATTTTCAATTTTTTTAAAAAATATTTCAGAGGTTGAAAGGTGAATTTTTTTTAGTTATCTTAACTTTTTCATATATTTTATTTAGGTCTGTCTTTTTACGTTGTAATTTATACGCTTTTCATATTTAACGAAGATTTTTCCTTGAAAATAGTTTAAAATACTCTGTCTGCTTCTTATTGATTATCATTAAATTGCTTTGTTCGCAGTTAATTGAGAGTTTAAACCATTTTTCTTTGTTTATTTTTATTCGAATTTAAAAATTATCGATAAAATAAAGTGCAGAATAATGAAAACGAGAGAAAATTTAGTGATTATCTTAATAATTTAATTTGCGTAAATTCGAATTCCATGAAATATCGGCAAAATTGGTAAAAATTTATTCAAAAATTTGATTTTCCGATTTTTTTTTTAAAGAAATATTATTTATTTATTAATTTTTTTATAATTCTTAATTAGGTAATTCTAATTTTGTTTAGCGAATTGTTTAGAAGGAAATTTTTTGAATTTTTTGGATAAATGATTTTTCTTGTAAAATAAATAAAAATTTAATTTTACTAATACGCGAAATATCTATTTTTATATTTTTTAAATAGTATTTTATAATCAATAATTTGCTAATAAAGAATTTGCTAATAAAGATTTATATTTTTAAGAAAATCGGTTTATTTCATTGGTTTTTTTTTTGAATTTTTGGATGAATGGAAAATGATTTGGAACCGTTAATGATAGCAAATACCGATAGGAATACTCGAAATAATATTGGTAAAATAATTTTAATTTTCATTTTTTTTTTTATAATTTTTACTAATATAAATTAATTTTTTCTTTATTAGCTGAACGAAAAGCGAAATTTATTTAAGATAGTTGATCATTGTAAAACTTTAATTTATCTATTTCTTTCCTATTTTGATAAAAAATGCACTGATAATTTTATTTGTGAAAAATGAAAAATTGAAATTAAGCGAGGATATGGCCATGTGGCAAATGTTCAATATTATTAGGCCTTTGTCATTTGTTTATCGGTATATTTTTATTAATATTTGATATAATAACAAATAATATTTCTGAAATCGCTTTTGCTGCAACTTCATCATTAACATTTATTGTATGTGCGATACTCGCATTTATTGCTTCAAAGTTTGTTTATTTATTATAATATAATAATTATAATATAATATTGATATTAACATTAAAATAATAATGATACCAAATGTTGGCATTAATAATAGTGATAATAATAGGCGATAATGATATGATGATAATCATAATAATGATAAATAGTTTATCGATTGGCGCTTATGAATAAAATTTTAAGTATAAATTTAGATTTTAAAAAACATAAATAAAATTTAAAACTATATACTAAAGTTTGAAAATCGAAAAGCTATTCGTAGTTGACCATAAAATATCTTAAAATAATAAATATTAAATAAATAAATAATTTTCTTAATTGAAGACTGAACAGCTGTTTTTTACTACTTAATAAAAAAATTTTTTAAATTTATATATTGAAATTTAGCTTAAAATGCGAAATTTTTTTTAGGCGACTCGATCGAACATCCCAATTATTATTATTATTTATTTCATTATTTGCAATAGCTTTAACTATAATAATGTTTATTGATAGCGTTGTTGTTATCAATCACAATTGTGATTTGAATAATTGTTATCAGCGTAAAAATATTATCTACTTTGTAATTTTATCAATATCCTTAATTGAATGTTTGTTTTATTTTTTTTCTTAATTTAGAGAAATTTTATTAATTTATCACAATAATTCTTAATAAATATTTCGATATCAAATTGTTAAATTTAAAATTAAATTTAAAAAATGCAATTAAGTGAGAATTGAGATTTTTTGTTTGGATTAAGGCTTCAACATTTATTATTTTTCTTCATATCAGATCGTTATCATTCTTTTCTCATCTTATCATTTATCTTCTAATAAATGGAGGTAAAATTTGCAAATGTATTTCTAAAAATCGTATGTCATAATGGTATATTTATTCAAATCAAAATTTAGACATTTTCTGTTATCAATTCTCTATTATCATCTTATACGATTTGTCTCATCTCTATTATCATTTTAGTAACGATTTGTCTCATAACATTATTCGTTTGTTTCCGTTCATTGCGAAAGGCTTATGGTGTAACAAAAGCAAGATCACCGTATAGTACACTTATTGAAGGCAACTATCAACTTTTTAAGATAATCCCAAGGTTATTTAAATTTTTCGTGCTAATTTGCTTTTTCTTTATTTTCTTAATTTTACAGAGTGAAATTAGAAATTTTCATCCAAATTTATGATTTATTTTTTATAATTTTTTTAATATTTTTATATAAAATAATTAAATAATATATAATTTTTTTAGGACGATATCAACAAAACGTAATGATAGAAATGGATCAGTGATTATTCAGTATATCGCGCGATAAGCTAAATAAAAATCTCCATAAATCTATAAAAATCTGCTAAATATCATTGAAATTAACGAATAAATTTGACCAATTTTATTAATTTTTGAAAAATCATTTTTGAAATCTGAATATTTATATTTATTAATTTTAATATTTAAAATTAATTTGTAAATTATTTATCAGAAAAAAGAAAAGATTTGCCATTCACATTTGTTTTAATCTTTTTAGCTTTTTTTCTGCAAAAAAAAGTGCCCAAATTTTTTTCACTTTAAAATTTTTCTAATTGATTTCAAATTTAAATATAAAAAAAAAGTTTGCGATTGCAATAATCTGATTAGTTTTCGCGGTTTATTCGTTTAATATTAAAATTTATAATTGTGGTATTACTTTAATAACTATTGATATAGTAAGCCTATTTTTATCATTTTTATCATTTTTCTTATCACATCACCGCATTTATTTATCATATCAATAAAGATTTTACGTAAATCACAAACTACGACTTGAATAAATTTTTTTTTTCAATATCTAACCTTAATTTCTGAAGCGATAAATATTTATAAATATGATTTATATGAATAAAATTGAGAAGCCTCAATAATTTTTAGGAATTTTAAGAAATCCTTAGAGAAAATTACGAATCACTGATATATCACTGATATAGATTATATCATCTTGAATAATGTTTCATTAAAAATTGAGCGTTATCCTTTATAATTCTGATACGACAACTATAAGTCTACTAAAAAAAATATAAACGGATAGAGAATGTGTATTTGAAGTATTTAGTAAAGATTAGAATCTCGTTCGAACCCACAAAATTCATGTGCGGGAAATCTCCTAAGAAGTGAGATTCACCACAATGCGAGTTCTTGAGGAAAGTGCTGATAAAGCCTTTCTGCCTTTTAATTTCTTATTTATTCAAATATATGACATCTAAAAATATTCTAAATTTTCCTGCTATTGTCGACTTTTCCTCTTCAGAATTATTCTATTAAGAGATAAGTTAATATGCTAAATTTTATCGATTGAATCTTAAATTTAAAACTTGAATTATAAAATTTCAAATGGATGAAATAAATGTAAAGTGATTTATTATCATTCTAGTGAATAGTTTATTAAGATAATTCTGGAATAATTCTATGAAGGCTGATATGATAAATATTTTAAGCAATTCGTTCCAGCTTTTTCCTTTTTTTCAGAGTCCTCACCATTACTGGTTAAACTTGCTCCACTGGCTTGTCACATTGGGCCCAGGGAGTCCCTTGGCGATAGAAATACAGATGAGTTGTCAGCATCACCGTCATCCGGATTTTTGTACAGGTTTACCTCTGCGGCGAATCGAACGCCAGCATCGGCGCTCCCAATGGAGCAACAATCCACTGAGCCATTCTATTCCCAATTCGTTTCGACTTTGGCTACTGAATTTCCTCTTGATTGCAGCGAAAAATTAAATATCGCATAGTTGCACACTTTCGTATATCTATCAATTTCCAAATGTTTCTGTGGTGAAAAAAGCCTAAATTAATCTTTTCGAATAGAATTAATCGTATACGAGATTTTTGTGCCAAAAATGATTTGTGCCATTAATTTGGAAATGGTGTGACTAGGGTGCGCTTGTTTTAGTATATTCTTATATATTTTTAAAATTCATTGTTAAATATTGCTCAAATATGTATGTTAACTGATTAACTAATAAGCAAACCAACTGATAAAACACTAAATAGCCTTAAAAATAGAAAAGTTAAATATTGAATAAATCTTTCAAATAAATCTTTCAAATAAATTAAATAAATGAAAATGAAAATTTTTTCAGAAGATTCCAAAAATCAACATTCAATTTTATTTCTGAGTGGTGCTAAATGATAAAACACTCGAAAAAAATTTTAGTTATGGAATAATTCCTGAGCAAAATGATCCAAACTTAGCAGCCAAGCCAGAAATTCTCATTGCTAATAGAAGAAAAATAATCTATAGATAATTGAAAGATTTCATCAAATTTTGCTAAAAATTTTGTTGCTTATCGTTCAAATTTTTGCTCTTTTCAAATTTCGGTTTGATAAAGTAATCTAATATCATATCAAAATGAAAATGTAAAAAATAATACTTCTCGTATGCACAATTTAATTTTTGCGTGTTTTCCTTTAAATAAGCTCAAAAACCCAAAATATAAAATTAATCAACCAATTTAAGTTAAATATACAAAAAGTGAAAAAAAACTTCTTCCGCATGGAAATGTGGTTTTATCGAGTTTCGAAATTAATTTTTAGCTTATCTCAGTTAAATTTATCAATTATTTTTTAATAAATTTTATGGCCAAATGATTAATTGATAAATAAACCGAATAAGATGAATTGATTAAGTCATTTCAGAGTAACAGAGTAAGTAGGTAAATCAAATGAGATTGATGGATAAGTCAAATTAGATTGGAAAGTAAGTAAATAAATCAAATCAAATTAATTGGTAAGCAATTAACTTTTGCAAATGCCTTTCATAATGAAAATTACTTTGCAAAATTTTTCGTTTTTTATCCGACGATCTTTGCATAATAATAATTCTTCATTATTCTTATCACTTATCATTGCAAGAAACCCAATAAATATTTATATTGTATTTGAAAATTTATACAAATGATTAATTTGAAGAAAAAAAATTATTGAATTTTACTTCAATTTGCTTTTTTTCGTATCTTCATTTTTTTTCTTTCGACCATACGACATTTTCATTTACAAGAACTGAAATATGCTTAATAAATATTTGATAATTAATTGCTGTTGTGTTCTAAAGAATTTTTCTAAACTCACTTGTACATAATGATAAATTTTAGGTTTACTAAAATTCTCTTAAATCTCTTTTCTATCGCTAATTCTATTTAGAAAAATCTTTTTTCTTTTGCCCCAAAGTTTTTGATCCTAAATTACATTCCCAATATCACCATTTTTTTAAGAACCCTTACCATTACTGGTTAGAGTTACTCGTTAGCTTATCGCACTATAAATATGTCAAAAAATCCACTGGCGATAGAAGTAAAGATGAGTCACCAGTATAACACGACCCTTTGAATAATTTCACCTCTGCAGGAAGTAGAACCTCAGCAACCGCGAAAAAATCCACTGAGGTTCTACTTCCACTGAGGTATTCTACGCCAGAAAAATTATGCATTATTACCTATCAATCAATTCAAAATATATCCGAAGTATAAATATATACTTAAGTATAAATAAAAATAAAGACCTTTAGTGGGTTCAAAATCGAGTGGAGTATCTGCGTCTTTAACTTTTATATTAAATGTAGCTCGCCATTGTACTTCGCCCATTTTACCTTCGAAAATTATCGGAAATGGTTTAACCATTTTTTCACTTGATTCTCTTCGTTTAACTACCCCTAAAAATAAATAAACTTTTACCAAGTTTGATCATTAAAAACAAAAAAATCTTGAATCTTTTTCTTCGACTGAGATCTGAGACTTAACAACGATTCGAATCCTTTTCAGAAGAGTAAATCATACCATCATCATATCTCTGAAAAGATATAAAACTGAGCTAATTATTTATCGGTCCCAAGCAAAGCTAGCCAAATTAGATATTAGATATATTAGATGAAATAAAAACTGAGGACTGAAATAAATAAATGGAACTTTATTAATAGGCAATACCTATAACAATATAAACATTGACATTTGGAATTTGCTTACTGTGAGAGGGAGTTAGAGGAGCGATTTGTTGCTTCTCTACGCCGTGATGAAATCTGCCACTTCTAGAATGCCGTCGGTGATTTCTAGTTGATTTTCTCCTTGAAACTGGTAATTCTTTTCTTCAATATAATTATTTTACTTTATGAGCGAAAATATTTATACAGAACTTCCCATAAAAAACAATTTATTAAATATTGTTAAATATAATATAATATTTAAAAATACTTTTGTAGAATATTTGTGTCCATTTCTGATTCAATTTCATCGCTTTTTAAAGTTGTTCGAACTTTTTCCCTTTCTATGCTCTGAAATTTGATGCAAGTTCATTCGTCATATTTCTAATAGAACGACATTAATGTGGAAGGGAAAAAAATGCTGTTGGTTGCGTTATTTTGCCTAAAGACAAACAGTCTGGATTCAGTTCCTTGCCTAGAGAAATCGATCATAAAAAATCGGATTAGCTGTTGGAGACTTGGTCGCCTCTACCTTTATCTTCATGAGGATCTCTGATGAAATGTTCATTTCATATAGTCCTCATTTTAGCAATCAATTAAATTAAATCTAGTGGAGTTTACCATTAGAAAAAAAGGAATAAGAAGAAAAATAAAATTGAAGAAGGATTAAAAGAAGAGTTATTTAAAAAAAGTTGAATATTACGAAATGTATGTGAAACACCTCACCAACGGTGCAGTTATATAAGAAAAATTTCCTTTCCTGATCCCTGTGGAAGTATGGGACATTTTCAAGTTCGGACCCTATACTATAGGCCGGGTAGTTTAAGGGTTCTGAGCAATATCTTGGCTGCTGTTAGCACTAAGTCTGAAATCTATTGAAACCATTTTTTAGCTTAGGGATCATAACCTCTATCAAATCTATGATTAATTTGATCTTTATTCCCCACATCTTCGCCAATTCCTTCTTCAGCCTCTGATATTTCTTCTAGCTTCATCCTTCCTGATTCCTTCTTTCTAATGGTCCTGTCAAATCTGCTATTACCAAATCCACCAGCGATGGAGATTTTTAGTTCTTTTCTGATAGTGTTTAATTAACAAGTACAAATAATTTCGAGGAAATTTCTAGCTAATTCGGTTTTAGTGCGCTTTTGCTGTTCCTTCCTGCATCTTACATCCTGTCACTATAGGTTGGACAATTTGGAAAGGTAGACATTCTCAACCTCATGCTTCCACTAAGTGTCCAGAAGACCGAGATAAGCTTAATGATAATATAAGATAAGGGCAAGAGTCTCATTTAAGGATCACTGCCAAAAAATTTGGCAGGAATAGCTGCAGCCCGAACTGCTATAACATTCCACATTAACCGCTCCCCTTAAACAATATTCCCGCCCTACTCCTTATTTTATATTTTATATATATATATATATATATTTGATAAATTTGTATAGATAAAATCTAAGAATGTAATGAATGATCTACATAGGGAAGAGGAAATAGCCCAAAGGATAGGGCGAGCTAATATGTAATAATAAACAACGGTTTGGATCGCAGCCAAACCTCGCCGTTTCTAAAGTGGGAAAGATTGGGCAAAGCACTGTGGGATCTTATCTGTCTTACCTCAGTCTTACAGATCTCTTGTAGAAGACTCAAGGTTGAGTCTTACCAGTTATAATGGGTGAAAAGGGGATTTTCTGCATAAAACGTTGTTAGAAGGAGTTTGTGAAAATCAGAATAGATTCAATTGAAACTTTAAATCGCTAAAGAGAGAATTAAAATTATAAGGTTAATTATAAAATTATAACTAAAGTAGTTGTACCTGAGCTGTTTGCCACAGTTCATCATCTCTAGCCGATGAATGCATAGATGACAAAGAAGCAAATGGTGTTGAAGTCGACATTGGTAAAAATTCTTTAAAGTTATTCGCACTCAAATGCTTTTGCTTACTTTCATCGAATTCAGTTTGATCAGTTGGTGCGTCATCCACTGTTAACTCGTCCATTTGTGCTTTATGCTCTTCCTTGTTTGAAAATGGACTTTTAGCACCTTTCCCAAAAGAATCGGATTTTATTGATGGAAGACTAGGATCTGACGTAGTGGAGGATGGAAGGTTTCTCTCAATTGTTTGACCAATTTGTTGTAGCGATTGTACCTCGTCCCTACGCAAAACCTTTGCCAATTTAAAATCAAATTCCTCTTTATCGCCAGTTTTTACCAATTTTTCTGAATCCTGTTCAGACGATTTTGAATCTTCAAATGTGATTACATCCATACTTTGCGTTTTATCAAGCATATTTTCCTGCAAATAAGAAAAAGAAAAGAATTTAAGAAATTTTAAAAGCGAAAAGTAGTGGCGCTTATATAAAATGGTTTATACAAATGATTTATTTAATATTCCCAATTTAAATCAAGATTAGAGAGTTAATTATTCTAAAAATTATTCAAAACCTGGATTGATACGATCAGGAAAGATTTTGAACGTAAAGGAGCAGCAATATAGAGACTTAGACGTTGGAAAAAAAATGGCTATGGCTTCTATTACCGTCGACAATGGCGGAATTAGATCACGGAACTTGGAAACGTAGCCAGAAAGCCAGTGGAACCAGACTAATTAATAATGAGGAGCTGTTAGAAGAAGAATTATTTTATAAACCATTTTTGTGGATTGGTTGCCCATTTTTTCTCTAAATTTGAATTGATCACTTAATTTTTGTACATTTGTTGCATCAAGCGAAATGTCTCCTTTCTGAACCATTTTATCTATAAACAATTTCCAAATATTATAAGCTTTTCTGATATTTGAAAACTGATATATTTAATATTAATAAACTGATATATTTCTAAAATATTGAACAAAAATGTTCGAAGAGGATCATCCCATCTCTAATCGTATACTGTTTTCAATAATTTCGTAATATTTCAATTCAATAATTTCGAGAAATATTTTATAAATAAAAATTTTATAAATTTATATTTTATAGAAATAAATTATTTTGCGGGATTCACTCGAGATTTATTTTTTGTACCTCGTTTGGGTTGATAAATTCTCTCGTCGTTAATTTCATAAACTGGAATATCTTTAGATTTTAAAGCTGAACATAGTGGTAGATTTTCATCACCAATTGCGATATGTCGCTTAATTTCGATTGATCGATCACCTATTTTGACAAATTCTTGATAAGCAATTGGTGATGGCATATTTGTAGGTAAACTTGTAAAAGAAATAAGTGGTTCAACAATTCTCTTCGGCCTAAATATTTAACAATTATAAAGATGAGCGATAAAAAAAATAAATAAAATAAAAAATAATAGAAATAACGCACGATGGTTCACTGGTTTTCGATATGACAATATGAAGAATTTCGTCGATATCGATATTTCCATTCGTTGCGTATTTCATCCCATATTCCATTGTTAGACTAAGTTTGGAATTTTGTGAAAGCGATTCCCTAAATATAAAAAAAATTAAAATCTTATAAATCTCTAAAAGAAAAAAGTCTTCTGAAAAAGAAAAAAAAAGATTACGATATAATTCTTATGAGGGGAGTGGAATGGCTTAGTTTTTCCGCAGATCAGATACTGAAATTCTATTCTAATCGCCGTAAAAGTAAATCTGTCCAAAGACCTGGGTGATGACGATTTACTTGCATTTCTATCGCTTACTCTATTCCTTAGTCCAGTGCGACAAGCCAGTTGAGCGAGTTCGACCATTAATGGTGAAGGCATTTAAAAAAAATTTAAGAGGAATTCTTAAGAGGAATTTTTATAGATTTTTAGAAATTTAAATTTCCTGTTCAAATCCAATGATTTACCTCATTTTTCCATCGTCTCCTTTCGAATGCGATTCATTTAACATTACTGCTTTGCAAATATTATTGTAAACGCGCGATTCCGTTGAATAAAAATGTTCACTCGGTTTAGCGCTCTAAATTTTCTGTTTTATTAATTAATTATCAATTCTTGTCGAAATTGCCTTAAATCGACCTATACCTATACTCAAAGCTCGTATCTTGAAAGGAATAAGCCTAATATTAAATGTGAAACTTCAGTGAGAAAAGCTCCTTTACTGGAAATCAATGGAACCAAATCAGAAACGGAGAATACTGTGAAGAAAAAAATGAAGAACTAAATGAAGGCCATATTGTCATAAGGCCATAAACTATCAAAGCATTAAATACCAAATTGTAAAATTAATAAAAATACTAACACATAATAAAGTTAGGCGCTCAATCTCAAGAATATTTTCTTTAATGCTCATTTTTAACACAAAAATCGACGGCTTTCCGTTTTTCTCTTTTCTATACACACCATAATTTATAATTGGATCGGTCTTAATTTATAAAAAAAAAATTAACTAAACAAAATAATAATAAAATGAAACGAATATATTGATATATGATCATAGACAATGAACAAAAGAGTCTTTCATATGAGGCGTTGGAGCTTAGAAAAGCCTTACGATAATAACCATTGGTGGTAATGAAACCAGAAATAGTATAAGGCGAAGCTGTAAAAAAAATTCGCAGCATCTTTCAGTCTTCAATATGAATAATATTGAAAATTATTTTAAATATTTAATATTTATGGAAATATTAAAACTTACATCAACTATGCGCTTAAGATTATCAAAATGCAATCGTTCACCCTTATATGAATGTATAAAAATTATATTTCGGAGCCAAATTTGTCCTTTATTCGTAATAAGTTCAACTCCTTGCTTTGTTGATATCTGATAAATGATGAGATAAAAGATAAAAAATAAAAAACAAGTTTTTACACAAAAAATTAAATAAAATAAATAATTAATGATTCAAACAATACTTTTCTATCATAAATTTTATTTTTTTTCGAAAAGAAAAATTTATAAAATAAAATGGATTATTTTAATTATTATTTAATTATTATAATAATTATTATAATAAAATAAAATAAAGCAAAAAATAAACAAAACTTTTAGACAAATAAAAATTATGATAAAAATCTATTCGATTTAACTAAAAATAAAAAATAATAATAACTAACAAAAATAACAATAATAATGACCGATAATAAAAATAATGATAATAATTATATTATAATTACTATAATTAATAATAACAATAATAGTAATAACCGATAAGGGAGTATACAGAATGAGATGAATATTTGGATCATATTGCTCTATATTTGAAGAAATTACTCGCCCAACTAAAAGATTAATTTTGATAATTGAAAAGCGAGTCTTTTCTGTAAATCAAATATCAAAATTTTCTTCGAATTTACAGTAGAAAAATTTATGCATTATGGATAAATTGAAATTGAAGCATTATGGATTTAATCCTTATCATCTAACGAAATTTTAAAAAATAATGGAATTACCTGCTGACTTCTCTTTCTTCTGCTTTGGCTTACTTTCTTTATTTGTTATGAAATCCTGACTGGAACTAAATATATAAAAATTTTTGAAAAATATAAATTTTCGATAAAAATTAAAATGAAATGATAAATTCTAAGATAACTATTTACTATTTACTTGTTATCTATTCGCCGACGTATTAAATGTGCAATGAAACATTATCGCTCGCATACTATTCTGGTAGAAGGCAAGGACACTGGTTGCTATTCTTATCTTTGTAGAGGTAAATTTGTCGTTAAAATAAAGCGAGCTGATATAGGACCGCCTTTACGAAGGCAATATCATGCAATTCTAGCATATCAATAAGTTAGAATAGGTTAAGTGGTACTCAAAGTCGAGGTAATGTAAATACTGAAATCCTTTGAATTTCTGAAATCCCACCTAATAAATAAAATTTCCGAAGATTTGCAAAGGAATAAATCATACTTATCATTGTTCACTGCTGACTCAACTTGATTTTCTTCATTTTCAGAATTATCGAAATTATCCAGGAGAAATGTTGGCGCTGTTTGGTAGAATGTGGGATCGGTTTTATCATCAAACCTAAAATTTCATTGTTTGCATTTTTTTCGATAATCACTGAAAAGAAAATTCTAAGTTTTAATGAGATGGTACCACCACACCAAAAAACTGAAACCATGAAGTAATCGAATTAACAAAAATAACAATAATAATGACCGTAGTAAACATCATATAAGTGCAATTAAATCGTATGCAAATCATAGGAAATCCATTTTCTTCATACTGTATTGCGCTTATTTACCATAATTTTCTCTAATCTTCCACCTTTCTATTTCAATAAAGTCAACTAAACTAGTTGCCTGATGAAATGAAAAGAATCACCTCCCCAATTTTAAGACTATTAATCTTTTTTTTATAGTAAGATATCTTATTTTACGTAATTTCCTATTAAGTTTTCACGTAATTTTTAAATTTTTTAAAAAAAATTCTACGACAAATTCATTAAATTACTAATTTAATAAAATAATAAATAATTTATTATTGAAATGACCTATCTTCTTCTGTTGCATTTTTATCATTTTGTGCTGTTAGATCGAAGAAAAATGCTTGGCTTCCGGTCTATAATTTGAGAAATTAGGTCTAATAAAGGTTTTTTTATGGAAAAAAAATCAGAAGAATCGGTAGAAATCGATTATTGGTTCTTTTTCAAGAAAAAAATAAACATTGTGGTACTCTACCTGATTGTGATATTCTGATGATTGTTTCTTTGCAAAATCTTTGCTATTTTTGATTTCCATTATTATTTTTCGCCTTTAAAATAAACGAATTCACCGTTTCAATAATAATCGATACTGAAATTCTCTCATTTAGATTAAAAAAATTGGAAATAATAGAAAAAAAACTTTAAAATCAAATAAAAATCAAACTTACTATTTGCTGAATGAAAATAAAATTATTAATGAACAACCAATCAACCAATGTTATTTGCTTGAAAATAAATTTTTATTTTTTATAAAAAAAATTTAATATTTTTAAGAAAAATTTATGCAAATGATGTGACTAGAAGGAGAGTTTTCTAATTCGACTTATTTTATTTACTCCATTAAGGCGTTAAAAAATTTGGTTAAAAATTAAAGATGACATGAAATGGATATTTAGATTTTATAATGCATCAATTCTAATTGACCTGAAATAAAAAAAATCACCGTAATTGACGAAATATGCATATGCTAAACTCTTGCATAGGCTCACGAAGTAAAGCCAAGCAAGGAATCATGGCACATAGTTCTGCTCGATCTTCCCTTTCACTAATAGTTTCATTTGAAATCGGGTTCATATTGGATGCGCTCCACATAAATTTGCTTAAAAAAGTTACCGAAAGTTCAATTCGGTACCATATTAAAGGATACTTTTACTTTTAGATTTGGAACGATTAAAAATTACAAATATAAAATGCATCAATTAACTATCTCAGCTTATAAATTTCATTCCCTTCATTGTAGGAGGCATTAAAATTTTTTATTTCTTACCATAAATATCCCTTCGACCCACATGTGTCCCTCATGGATACACTATTGGAATGGGTAACATGGAAACATCGTATTCAAAGCGGGCTGATTACATTAATGATTATAATCGGTTGATCATGGAATAGTACTATGATAAATAGCCTCTATATGTCCGGATTATATCACAGCTAAGGCAATGATTTGGAATAAATTCTCTATTGAATAAATAATTGAATGCTTTTATGTTATTTTATTTCATTATTTTTTTTATTATTTCGTAGTTAGAGCCAAGATTTGAAGAAATGCCAACAGCTCTGCGAGTATGCGACGATAGAGAAATGACGGTTACGGGAAATATAATCTCATTAGTGTGACAGCATGAAAAAAACGAAGAAATTACTCTTGACTGTGTGGCAATCATAACTCGAAAAATGGCCAATAAAATATTTCGAGGTGAAGATGAAGCCAACCAGCCAATCAACCAACTAACACCCACTGAAACGCACCTGAACTGCATTCATGAACCATAAACCGTATACGTATACGAAATAACGATTCAAAAATTTAAAATTTTTGAATAAAACGACCTTCGGGCTAAAATCTTTAGGTTACCCAGCATCTTCCACAACCAATCTTTAAAGAACGCATTCACTGATTAGGATAAAGGATTCACACCATGTGACCGGAACATGGCAGTCCTACTCCCAATTTATAAAAAAATTGATAGAATGAATCACGAGCGCTACAGAGAATCGAGTTCAACGGATGCCGCTAGCAAAATTTTTACCTGCCTCCGGTTGAACACATTGCACCAGAAAAGCAGGATACCGCAAATAAGCCTAGCATAGGCCTATATGTAAAGGTGAGTAAGATAGGTTGGGAATTGCCTCTCTGAATATCACTCGCCAGCACTGAAGAGATGTAAGATCGATCCACACTCTGCAGCATACTATAGTATATACTTAAGATATGCCAGCACTAATTCGATAAGCTAAAAAAAATTAACTCCAAACCTTCCCATTTTTTATAAATTCATTCATTTGTTCAAGAAAATGCCAAATTCGTCAAATTTTAGATCCATTTTTTCAATGCTAACGAGGAGCGAAATCCCGACGCCTCGCGAAATCACCCTCAAAATTCTAAAAAAAATTCGAACTTCTATATTGCATGCACAACAGTGCTATTATACGGCTATGAAGGCCAGTGAAAGCAGAAGGAAATACTTTAACCAAATCACTCATACTACCTGCCGACAAAATCTTACATGATTATATCCACCTTTTATCCAATACCACATACCTCATAAGGGACCATACCCACCGTCTCATAAACTGCCACAAACCTAGTGACGGCTTAAAACTCAAGAAGGATATCTTCTATAGATTTCAGGCACGACACATGATCGGGAAATTACCCTAAAATATATCATTGAAGCTATTCAAACCAAAAATGAATATTATATATATATATATATAATATTATATATATGCCCCATGCAATTTTCGATTTTTATTAAGCATTTTTCAAATAAAACTAATAATGAGCACCATATTATGCATCCCAAATAATTAAGTGAAAACAATAAATTACGAAGAATTCAAAAGAAAGTTAATGGTTCAAATTGATAACCCAAACCTAACCAATTATTTGATAACAATTTTGATAATTTTTAATAACAAATTACTAAAATAAAATTCAACAATAAGTTCATTAAGTGACAGTTGGTAATTAGAGACACAATAACAATAAGAATAAAGTGAATGGTCTCCAAATATCACATATCTCCGCTATCCATGCAACCATTAAAAACAACGCTGATATTCTTTGTTGCAGGTGGATGAAGTATAGAAAATAATCAGCAAAAAAGAAATGCCATATGATCAGAAATTCTTTAAAATAAACAAAATTTAAACTAATCGTTAATATTTTTGAAAATAAAAATATTAATAATGAAAGCATGAAATAAACTAAATTTGAAATTGGAAAATTGGAATAAACTTATTTTGAAAATAATAATAAAAACATAAATAACAAAGGTCATGAAAAAACTTGAAATGAAGAAAAATCTGAGTTTTCAGAATTTCGCAAACAACTTGTTGAAGGATAAGCATCTCGTCCAATTATTTCCACAGTAATTTTATTGCCATCTTTCTTTAGCGATTTACAACTTTTTAAATAATCATTTAGCTAAATAAAATAAATTATTTCTGCAATTTAATTGTTAATATTAATTATTTACCAATCCAAGTAATTTAATTATAATTCATGTTAATATATATTTAATATATAATATATATAAGAAGAATTTCATTATTTCATTACCTTTTTGTCTTTTTAAGTTAAAAACCAAAAAAAAGAATTGTTAAAATTAATTGAACTAGAAATCGTTAAATAATCGAAAAAACCTCAAAAATTAAATGAAAAATATAATATAACTAAAGTATAAAATTATCAACAAAAAATTATATCAAACAAACCAAAGGTAACATATGTGGCATAACAGGACCATTTTTCAAAGTCAATATGCTTAAATTCTTGTCACCGTTTTTTTGTATAAAAGATGTTTTCTGAAACATAAAAATATAAAAAAATACAGTACAAAAATAGGAATTTGAATAAAAAAGTATATCATAAAAATTAAAAAAAAATCAAAAATTTTACAATGATTTAAATAACTAAATGGAAAAGTATTCAGATCATCCAGCAAAAAGATTTCATAATCTTTAAATCTCATTATTAACTATTATTGTTATTATAAATCTCTACCACTAAATCTTATTATGTATTATTATTATTTATTATTATTTATTATTATTATTTATTATTATTATTTATTATTATTTA